TTGTATTTGATTATGTTTATCTACAGTCAGTTACACGAATTCAGATATGGAGCTTTAATAAGTTGTACTTACGCACAATCGAATTGTAATCTTAAGTTTTAAGTATAATGCATTAATAAACAGTATTTGATGCATAAAAAGTGTTTTTTAAGAATTTTTTTTCAAATTCTTTATAATATAGTATAAATATCACACATTTCTCACCTTCAACGTTGTTTGAATCATCGACCTCCTGGTAAGTTAGGTTTTTACTGGTAATTCAGCCATCGTTGTGTCAATTCTAATACCAAAAGGTAAGGATAATTACACACAATGTGCATCATGGACTCTAAGATGCGCTTAGTATGCAAAGACATGACAAAAAGAACAAAAACTCATCGTCATACGTTTAGCACGACATTAGACCTATCTGCTCGGATCAAATTAGAACTATAAAACATTCCACAGTTTTTCATGCACCTACCTAACATTTATCCGTCCATACAATTTGTAAACCAAATGCACCCTAAATGCTTGAACAAGGAAACAAAAGACCTAGCAAGAAACAAGGATCAAACCTTAAAAATGAGTAATTGTATGCGGGTTTGATTGAATTTTTATAAGAATAAGTCAAATAAAACCAAACAAACGCAATATATCTCACCCGAAGATAGAATCTAATCTAATATGTGCAAACCCGACATTTACCAAAAAAACTAAAAGGTAAAGCAATTATCAAATAACCAAATAAGAAAAAACTACAGAAAGTTCAAGAGAGAAATATCCAAAATACCTTCAAACCAATATGTGCAAAAAGTCAAACACTCCTATTAACATTAAAGACTAAACCAGATGATAGATACTATAAAACCCTAATATAGACAAATTCATTAAGCCACAAGTTTTCTGCTATACTTCTAACTAAAGGGATTTCTTAGAGAATTAATATGATGGGGTTCCGCATATCTTAACTACTTGTTCTTGTTCTCCTCGAGGTGATATACGGTCTTAACATATTCTTCGGTATCCCAAAGAAACGAACCAAAAGCGATTGCCTCCAACACAAATCTCTTCAGGGTTGCAAATGATGTAGATATTATTTCATCAGATTCAACATCACCAAAAAGTGCAAAACTATGTTTAGTTATCAGACGTAGAGCCTCCATAGAATTTGGTTCAGCACATGTTGCTAGTGAATCAGGGGCAAACCCCATCAAATATGAACTCAATTTCTCTTGTTTCCTTTTACCATCGAATGGTGAAGTTGATACTGTGTTGTGGGTGTGAGTGTGACCAAAGACCAGATTCCTTCGCCTGAACTTGTATAACTCTGGCAGTGGAAGGTGGTTGCCCGAGTTCAAGAACATGTCATCAATGGGATTGGCTAGACTCATTTCTAGTTGGTGTCTCAAGGTGGCAGACTTAAGAAAATAGCCAAAAAGTATGGATGCTGTATAGATTTGGCAAAGATCGGCACGCTTGATTTTGGTTGTGGCCCAATTGTCGGTCACACTAAAATCTGCTCTCCATCCGATAACGGATGTTAGATGTTCTCTTACCATCTCCAAGACCTCAAAGCTGTGAATGGACTCGAGTTCCCAGTCTTTTGCAGGCAAGATTTCTAGTCTACCATTATAGACACACTTTGAAAGGCGTGGGATTAAATGGACCTTGACTTCAGAGAATTTGTAAAGGATTAGCAGATACATGATATCTTCTATGGCGTTTTTGCATTCTCGCCCTTTCACCTCAGAAATCCTCCTGCCAGCATAATTGGATTAGTGACTAAACTGCAGTTAAGTGCTCATAAATCCATTTTGAAGCAACAAATATAAGCAGATCAACAAGTTCAACATTAGCAATCATCAATCCGATAGATTTCAAAATTCACATTATCATCACCAAAGCCAAAGTTTCTTTTTAATTCAACTGAAACTATCAATTCTGCTGGTGCATGATCCAAACGTATATTTAAACCTAAATCTTGTCTCAAACACCAATTTTATGCCAGAACTATGAGCAATACATCCAGAAAATCCATTAGAGAATTCAAAATCAGCATGAAATCGATGAACCACGTCTAATCAAGTAAGGAGGAACTTAAAATTGGTTGTGATTGATGGCTTTGATTTTGGAATTTGTCTCGCCTTATAAACACGTATGATGTTATGGATCTGTTCTAGGTTTCTATGGTGGATTTTAGCAAGTGCTTACTAAATACCTTTCGATCAACAGGTACTTTTTCTGTAACTGACGGAATATGAATAGATCAATTAACTGCAAGAGATTGAAGAACAGAGTTAGATAAGAACAAACCTGTGAAGACAAGCTTCACTCGACTCAGCGCTCGCTATTCTACGCGCATAAGCTTCATCAAGTTCAACAACTACCTTCTCCAACGTCTCCGCCACGGCCTCATGAAACGACTTCCGTTCATTCAATAACACACTCGACAAAAACCTCCCCTCCGGCGTCCCAGGCTGAATCGGCGTGTTCAAGCTACTAAACTCACAGTAACTACCACCTCCAGTACCAAAACCGCCATAATTAGTCGCAGAAGCCACAACAACCGTGGAACGGCCGCGTTTGACTCCTGAGAAGCCAGAAAACGCCTGTAAACGGCGATGATTGCTGAGTGGAGAAGGCAAAGAGCGGGAAACGATTATGAGGCGATTATGGAGGTTGAAAGAAGAAGGGAGACAATATTCCATCCAGCAATAATTGAAGAGTTGAAAGTATTGAGAGAAGTGGGGATTGATTAAGATGATAGATAGATACAGACGGATTGTATATATAGTTAGAGAGGTTAAAGAGGATAAGGATTTGGGGGCTATTATAGGGCACTGGGAAATTATCTGGCGTGGCGTCATTGGTAATCGTTACGGTGGGGGTCTCCAATAAGACCAACCACCTATCGTATCACTTTCTTTTTATATGCTTCAATTTCTACTTTTCACCATTTTCTTATTCAAATAATTACTCTTTTGTCCCCCATAAAAATTCACACTTTAAAAAAAATATAATTTATTATATTTTAATTAGTTAAAAAATAATTTCACCGTTAAATATTAAAAATCCCATCTCTAAAACAGAATGAAAAAATA